CCATGAGGAAGGGAAAAAAAAAAATCACTGCCAACCCTAAACTCTCTAGATAGTGAAAGTATTTTTCAAAAGTAAAGAAAAATAAAAACAGTTTCAGAAGACTAAAACTAAGAGAGTTTGGTAATAACATCCCCTTTCTGAATGCAATTTCAAACTATAGCCATGTACCTTATAACAACCTTTTGGCCAATGATGGACCTCATATATGACAGTGATCCCATAAGATTATAATACTGTGTTTTTACTGTATCTTGTCTATGTTTAGATACACAAATACTTACCATTGTGTTACAATTGCTTACAGTATTCAATTTAGTAACATGCTGTGCAGGTTTGTAGCCTAGCAGCAATAGGCTACACCATATAGCTTAGGTGTAAAGTAGGCTATATCATCTAGGTTTGTGTAAGTACACTCTATGATGTTCACACAAGACAAAATCACCTAACAACATCCTTCACAGAATGTAACTCTGTAGTAAAGCAATGCATGATTATATTTATTTCAAGCAGAGGTAAACTGCTTCCACATGGAAATTTTGGGATATAAAAAAAGAATGAAAAAAATGTGAATAAAGCTAGTCCAACATTAACTAAATAAAGCATTACTCTTATCAAGTTTTAAAAGGATTATAATTAATATACACAAAACATTATATGAGATGGGAAAGAGGTAATTACTCCATGTGACAACACCCACTCAGATTAACACCCTAAATGACACAAATCCATAATACATATTCAAAAATTGACAGCTCATCTGTAAAGGAAATTGACACGAGTTTAAAACTTCTGATTTAAACCACATGGCATATTCAAATCTGTGGGACAATGGCTTGTGTACCCTCTAGGAGCATAACAGAGAGTTTTTTGAATGCTTTGTTCTCTTGAGCACCGTCTTATGGCAGGTAGGTAACTTTCTGTCAGTACTCTTGAAATGGGTAGAGGGTGCTCAAAATTATCAACTAGTATCACAGGTGAGGGAATGGACCTGGGTACCAAAGGAAACCTTAAATCTTATCACTATTTTTTGTTTTATATATCTATAATATTTACATTTTAAAAATTACTAGGTGATAAATTATGGACTTCATAACGTTTTTTGTCTACTTACTTCTCTAATTTAATAGTGGGAGAAAGCCCAATCAGTTTATGAAGGTTATGTACTTGGACATTAGTTCCTAGGCACTGGGGAACAACTAAAATTTTTGAGCAAAGAAGTAATATAATTAAAGTTAGGCTTTTATAAAATTATTCCGGAGATGACCAACATTTTGTTTGCTAGGAGTATAAACCACTTAGCTATTAAATTGAAAAACAAACCTAAAAGGAGAATGTACCAAATCTATTGATTGCACTACTGCTTTTCTGCTTTGTAACACTGGTATGATACATATATATCATACATAAATATATATATATGTGAGGGTACTTCAAAGGTTCATGGAATGATTTGTATTATACATCATACACTCATCCAAAAGCATATCAAGATAAATTTTTTAAAAAATACAAATATTGTAGGGCTAGCCAGTTGCTCAGTTGGTTAGAGCGCAGACTTATAACACTACCAAGCCTACTGGCCAGCTGCAAAAACAAAAGCAAATATTGTTGTCCATAGTATTTATCAGTAAATTCTACTGGTTAGATTTTGTTGTTCCTCTGACTTCCAGTTACTTTTAATAAGGATCTGTCATAAGGAAGACCCTTTTATTTTACATCAAGTCATTTAGTCAGCTCTTCACTAATGTGTATTAAACTTATTTATCTATATATAAAAGCCACACAAATCTGAGGACACAGACTCTACAAAAGTATGCAAATTAATGGAAAAATCAATGCTTTACAATTTAACATAATAGTTTTGAAAAGAGAACATATCACAAGTGTTTAAAATAAAAGATCATGAAATCAAGGAACACATTTTAAAATAGCCACCTTTTTTACTACATTTATAGATTGACCTCATACGTTCTTATATAAAGTAGTGTTCTTTAAAAGGAAAACTATCAAGAAATACAACCCGATATTCACAGTTTGATGAATCTGAAACGTGTACTTCCAATTGAGAGATACAATTGCAAACAACAGCCTGCACAAACGAAACAGAGAAAAACTGACCGGGGAAGCACAATAGAATTGACTGTACCTTTCGAAACTAGAGCTGTAATCCAGTTTGTAAGAAAATAAAGAATGGAAGTATTGGCCTAAACTCCACTGAATCACAGAAGCCTAACACAATACAACACAAGTGACATCCTTTTCTCAAAGAGGCGCAAGGCTCATTGAGTCTGGCGATTCAATTACCCTCTCAACCTGGAAAGAAGCCCCCTCCTGTGTTGAGGTCCACTGGCAGAGCAATGTGGGACAGCCTACATTGTACACAGCTGGTAAATATCTAAAAAGCTGCAGGCTTTAAAGAACAATAATCTTTGACCTTTTATGATTGCTACAGTGACTCTTCAACAAAACATTACTTACCATAGCTTCTTAAATGCCTGAGAAAAGATTATATTCGCAGTTAAGTATCTTTAAATATCTTATATTCATATAGAAATCTGTTTAAATAAATACCTACTCACAATGCTGCATTAGGTAGTAAAGAATATGGACAAATTAATGAAACAGAAATAGGTTTTCCTAAAACAGAGATTATTCTGATCTTGCTTAGACATTTTATGAACTGTTCAAAGAGTATCATTATTCCCTTTTTGTCTTTTTTCTTATAAATTTGTGTAGACCTTGAATTAATTGAAAATATACTAATTGGGATAACAAAATAACTACTGAATTTTGGGATATCTAGAGAAAATTTGGCTAGCCTGGACCTTCTAAGATGGTCCACTATAATTCTCATATCTCTTCATGCCTGATGTCAGTAGTGCTAACTTAGATATATGTTTAGCCAAAACACTACACTTCAAACTTTAGACATTTTGCTCCACTCTTTTTCTGATGAGATAATTATTAAACAAATGAGATTTCATATACATTTCATGTAAGTCATTTTTTACACATTAAGACAAAGGGCTTGTAACAATGGATATTTGGGATACTATGAAGTTAATAAATGAAATCCCTTCCCAAAATTCATCTTAATTACAAGTCAAATATTTAAGCATTTATGATTTCCTACAACCTTTAGGATTAAGTCTCAGATATTGAGGTTGGTATTCAAACATTTTCACACCCTGATTCCGATCTAGTTGTCTCTTTCACACCACTCTCTTTCATGTAATCTAGGCTCGATTCTAGCCACACGGAACTTGCTATTCCCCACACGCTAATAACTCTTCCTGGATTCATGGCTTGCAATACCAACCACATTAAATTATGATTAGGTTTTTTTTGATTGTTTTTGTTTTAATGTGTCTGTCTTTGCTAATACATTATGATCTTCCAAAAGACAGAATCATAGCAGGAAACTTGTTTTACCCAGTGCCCAGCACTTTGTTTGGCAGATAGTAGGTATTCCACGACCAACGTAAGCAACAGAAAGAGGAATCACTTCTACAGTGTTTACCATATTGAATGAGTAGAGAAGTTAATAATTCCACATCAACAAAATATTTGTTGAATAATTACTATGTTAGACATTTTCATATACAAGTATTATTCAGTTTATGCCACAACTTTGTAAGACAGATGCTACCTTTCCTTCATCAATGAAAGTAAGAAATTTTCCATGAGTTCACAGTAAGTGGTCAATCTAAAAATTCAACTCAGACTTCAATTCCTAATAAATCTGACTAAACATAGATTAGTAATAAACAGATTACTGCTATGCCCTTACACATAAATAAGAACTTTTAATTCTTTTGAAATCCTAAAGCAACATAAATTTGTTTATTATTTTTCTCATAAAATATGTTTTAAATAATTAACATATTAAGACATGATCTTTATATCTAAAAAGGTACCTGGATGTTGAAAGAGGATGTAATGGAGCTTTCCAGCATTTTAGAATATTAGTGTTAAACCTAGTGAAAAGAAGGATTCTCTGTATCCTTATGGGAGACTTTCTTCAGCTTTTGCTCATTTGTTAAAGGATAAGACACTGGGCCAAGAGATCTCAATGCTCCTTTCACAAAAACAATAGTTATTATTAATTATTCAATCAATCGACCATTCACTTAGCAAATAAAAACTGGTGCTAGACTTACACTGATTTTAAAAAACTAAAGATTAAAATTTCTTTTGTTCTACTCATGCCCACAAAAGCCTGTCTTCTATTTGTAACTTTATTTTAGTTATAACTACATCAGTCTCTATGAATTACTTCAAATCTTAAACAAATTAAATTAACTGAATTTCAGTAAAAGAAAAAAGTCCATTCCCTTGATGTCTTTCAGGTGCAGTGTGCCAGACTTAATACTAAAACACATTTTAAGACAAAGATATTTCATAAATTTAAAATGTGTTTTGATGATCAATGACAGTTCTGTCTGTAAGCATTTAGCAAGCTTAAGGTAGAGTCAATGTATTCAGTGAATGCCTTATACACAAAATCATTAATTTCAACATAAACTAATTTTTAAGACAAAAAACAATGAATATGCACTTTCACCATAATCAAGTCACAACTTGGAAGAGCTTTATTAATAAAGTGTGCCACATTTTCAAATGCCCATAGAAATCGTATCTTTAATGCTTTAACCGAATTTACTAACTCAAGCTTTATGCCTTAACCACAGTAATAATACAGATTAAGATCAAATGCTGTTGTTAATTTTCATTTGCAGAAATAAATCTCAAGGGCCGACCCGGTGGTGCACTGCTACATTGCGCCGCTTGGGAGTGCGGCGGCGCTCCCGCCGAGGGTTCGGATCCCACATACAGACCAGCCGCTCACTGGCTGAGCGAGGTGCGGGCGCAACACCGAGGGTTGCGATCCCGTTGCCGGTCCCGGTCCGGTATGGGCGCGACAATGAGGGTTGTGATCCATTGCTGGTCACGAAAAAAGACAAAAAGGAAAAAAAAAAAAGAAATAAATCTCAATTTACCTTGTTTGCAATACTTGTGATGAACGATTTAATATCTAGATTAGTTGGACAGCTCTTCTGACACGGGGCATCTGCACATTTCAGGCATCTAGGGAATAAAATAACTGTGTTAAGAAATCTACAAAGTAACTAAGATAATTCTCTATCGTATTTCGACCCTATGCCCATTCAGAGTTAGTGTCTAGTAAGTAAATAAAATTATTTTTAGGTACAAAACTTTTTTTTTTTTTTTTTTGTCTTTTTCCGTGTCCGGCAATGGATCGCAACCCTCAGTGTTGCCCCCGTACCGGACCGGGGACCGGCAACGGGATTGCAACCCTCGGTGTTGCCCCCGTGCCTCGCTCAGCCAGTGAGCGGGAACCGGTCTGTATGTGGGATCCGAACCCTCGGGCGGGAGCGCCGCCGTGCTTCCCAAGCGGCCCACTTATCCAGTACGCCACCGGGCCGGCCCGGTACAAAACTTTTTTACGCAATAAAATAAATATATAGTATCCATGTTTCATCTTTTGCACACCTCCTGAGGAGCCTAAAATAGCACTGCTCTGGCTAATAACTGCCCCTCCTCTCAAAGATCCTCCTAGATGGATTCTATTGAAGATATATCATTTGCTCATTTACTACATCAGTCTTGTTTTGTTTCCTACTGTACTGACTGACAATGCTTGGAGCATGCAGTTTTTCATGACGAGGTTTGTATGTCTTGCAGACCACAATTATTATACATATGCAAAGGTAAAGACTCTTATTTTACCACTTACAATATCCTTTCTTCTTCCTTTCTTCCCTCCACCTTTCCACCCTGCCTCCCTCTCTCCTAATTTTCTGATGTCTTTCAATCTATATACAATTGGGCTCTGTAGTAGATGCTTCAAAACATAGCCCAGATCTACCCACTTCAGGACGAAAGTATTTATTCCCCCAGCTGCCTTGGTCTCAGCTGAAGAGAACGGGCTCAAACAAGGTCATGTTCCCTTTCTAGGAGCAGCCCACATCCAATTACAGGTCAATGAGGGAGGGTTAGAGGCCCGGTCCTCTTGCATATATTTGGGGAGCTAGTCTGCAGGGATCTACTGCAGCCTTTACTGTGACTATCTGCCCAATCCTGCTTCCTTCACTTTGCTATAGTTGTTGACCTTCAAATAAACTTATGTATACTATTCTCATCTCAGAATCTGCTTCCTGGTAAACTAATCAGAGACATGCTCAAACTTTAGTGCACATAAGAACCACCTGGGAAGCTTGATAACCTCAGGTGATTCTGATATACATGGTTCGAACTACATAGTGAGAACCACAATTCTATAATTAATAATGTTAAGTGAAATAAGCCAGACATGGAAAGAGAAATACTGCAGGTCCTCACTCATAAATGGGAGCAAAGAAGGGAAGGAAGAAGGAAGGAAGGAAAGAAGGAAGGTAGACCACAATAAAACAGTGAACTTTCAGGAGGAGAGAACAGACCTATCGTTCCTAGAGGTGGGAAAGGGGGAGGTGAAGGGAGGTTAGGGAGTAGTTGGGTAATGGACACAGAAAATAATTATGATTTGTAATGATGACCATGCTAATAATATTGATTTGATCATCACATACTGTACACAAATACTGATAGTCAACTCTGTACCCCTGTAGGGAAAATACAGGAAAATGATCAGGGCCCCTGAGATGTTCAGAATCTTGCCGAGCATTTGATGTAAATATGCACGTGCACCCAGGTGTTCCTTGGCTATTGTCTAATGTAATTGTGCATGTGCACCCAGGTGTTCCTGGGTTGTCTGACTTGCACCCAGGTGTCCTGTGTTATCAGAATTGAGTATAAAGAATGAATGGCTCTGATCCACAGTGCCCTCCACCCCCACCCCACCCCGAAAATCCCAGGGGGCAGTGTCACGGGGAGGCCACTACTGTTGCTGGAGGCTGTTGCTGCCAGTGCCCCTGGGACGCTCGGGGGGCCACTGCTACCACTGCTACTGCTGCTAAAAGCTGCTGAGGAAGCTGAGGACTGAGCTTGAATCATCTGCCAGTGGCTCCTGGGATCTTTCCCAATTACCTAGCTTGTGGAACTGCGTGTGTGGGGTCTGGTGACCCAGCCAGGCATACAAGGAGTCTGGTGACCCAGCCTGGCATGTGAGGGGTCTGTGACCCAGTCTGTACAATGGGTTTGAAGTGTCGCTCTGTGGGCTCTAGATTCCCGAGATAATAACCCCATAATTATGTGTAATCAATTATGTTTCAATTCAAAAATACATTTTAAAAAAAGAAAAAAATATAATTACTACTTCAGGACAAGTGAAAACACTGGCTAGAATTGTCCTCTATTTGCACATTAACTTATATGTGTGTTTGTTCATTGATTCACTCAGTTAATAAATGTTTAATGAGCCCCTGTTACATGGCAGACCCTGGTATATATGGATATAAAAGTGATAAACAAGACCACCATGATCCTGCTCTCATTGAACTTGAAGTTCGAAGGAAGTACAGACATAAAACACATTGCAGTGGTCACTGTGGTCAGTGTAAAGTTGGGTGAATACAGCATGCTAAGGGATTACATAGGAGGGACAACAACTCTCTCCCCTGAAGGGAGAGAGTCAGGAAAAGCTGCTGGAAGGAATAATACTTAAACTGAAGATTGAAGAATTAGTGGACATTAGGGAAGCAAAGAGTGGTGGGATTTGCAGTACGTCGTCACTTCAGCGAATAACCCCAGAGTAGAAACAGTATGTGCCAGGTCCTGGAAAGAAAAGAACATGACAGGATAGGTGAGCTAATGGAATTTGGTCTGGCATGCACATAAAGTGAGAATGGGAAAAAGAAATTAGGCTGGAGATGCAACTTAAGAAACATACTACTGTCACATGTATCAAAAGACCAGAATTCTCCAAGAATTTCACTGAGAATAAATCCTACATTTCTCAGTGACAAAGGTGACTAGCTAGGCTCATTTTCTATCCACTTCCATATGTAAAGACCTCGGTTCCTTTCCTTCAAGAAAACAAGACAAGTCTCCTTGTCATTCTTTTGTAAGAGAGCCCTCTTCATTGTCAGAATCAATTTTTCAGTACCTAATTAATATCTTGTTTTTTAAATCTGATCTCTTTTCTCTGGTTTGTGACCTCAGCCTTCTCTCTAAATTAAATTTTACACAATGAATACCGAAGGCTTTTCATAATCAATTGTCCTTTCTGAAATGTAGTCATTAAATCTCTCCCCTACCATTTCTCTAAACGCCATTGTTAGATTCACATCTATCATTTAGTTGAATTCCTATCTGCCCATACATATGATTTCTATCCCCTAAAACACTGTCACTGAATTCAAAAACAATTTCTTGGGGCCGGCCCGGTGGCGCACTGCTACAGTGCGCCGCTTGGGAGTGCGGTGGCGCTCCCGCCAAGGGTTCGGATCCCACATGCAGACCGGTTCCCACTCACTGGCTGAGCGAGGTGCGGGTGCGACACCGAGGGTTGCGATCCGTTGCCGGACACGAAAAAAAGACAAAAAAAAAAAAAAGGAAAAAAAAACAATTTCTTGAAACTATGATCTGCAGCATACATTGCAAAATAATGCAAAAAGAACATAACACGTGGCCTGTTTGGTCCTTGATGTTGAAATGGGGTGATACATGTGTTACTGTCATGTGGATAAATACATTGGGCATTAATAGTGGTTTGAAAGGGTTTGAAAGGGTTTCCTATGTGGTAATACGGTAATATAAAATCACTAAAAATTTAGTGAACAATGTGCCATCTTAATTATTTTCTCATTTACAAAAAAGTCATTTCAAGAGTTTGAAAATACTTGTCATTGCACTGGAATAAAGATAAATATATACACGCACACACATACATATATGGCACATCACATAGATTCTGGTTATCCCTAATAAAGTCACAAGTTTTCTGCTTTTCTTTTTTCTAACACCCAACTTGAATAATAAGGCAATTAAAAAATGAAATTATAATGTCAGCAGGTATGAATGAACAAAATTAATGCACCATGCATTTTTCTGCTCTTCCAAAGAAATCTTAAATTCAACATAAACAAATTCACTTAGCACTGACAATGTAAAGATTTTTAGTTGAGGTTATTAAGCCTCTTTACCAAATAATTCTCCTTTTATTATTGAGCTAGTTCACAAATAACAGCTGCTGGAAATGTCAGATGTTAATGAGGCAGGGCAATACAAACCTGAATTGTAGCATTCTTTTTTTCTTTGGTGCCATGAATATGCCAGAATGGGCAGACTCTGATAATAATACCATCTTGCAATTCTCTAAGCGCTCTGCAGACTAAAGTGCATCAGGCTGCCATTAATCCCACTTATCACTCTGACAGCTCAGTAATTACACTACTGCTATAGCCAGGTAGTCCTAATAAAATATCAACCACTGCACTGGAATGCAAGCTGGTGAGATGTTTTATTAAACCTGGGGGGGGGGGGGGCGGGGGTTGATCATCTAGTGACATTAGTGTTGACCTATTTTTCTATTTGACAATAAATTATCCTTTGACCATGCCATAATAGATATTACAGAGTGCATTTACTGTACCAAATCAGAAGATAGTGCATTACAATGATGTAGGCAAATGGTGTAAATAAAATAGCAGAAATGCATGTCAGAATGTTATTACCTAAATTGCTTTAAATGATTGATACCATGAAAAATCACAGACACAGTACTCAGGGGAATATGTCAACAATTATTGTAAACCACAGTTCTACATAAATTTTTCCTAAGAAGTATCATTCAAATTACACTTTTTTTTATCTTCAGTCATTTAATTCCCCTTTTACCTTTCAAAGTTACTCTGTTATAATGCAGCTTATTTTTAGATTCATTGTAAGAGGAAGAAATTAATTCAGATATACAACATGTAATATTATTAATCCCCAAATAATTACATTTATACTAAATATATTATATTTTTAAAGCAATGAAACATCTCAGATTTTTTAGTAGCGATAAATATCTCAGTTCCATACATAATAGAAAGCATAACAATGGATTTCATTAAAAGCAAAATATAGAATCCTTAATAAATGTTAATCTTTCATGATTGAACATAACCATAAAATATATATTTATATATAAAAACTTCAGTACTGCTACTTAAGGAACAAGAACTATTAAACATAATTTATCCAGGATTTTTCTCTAGGGAAAGAGCAACATGATTCCTCTTCCCAAATATCAGTGCAGCTGGACAGTTTTACTCCATAGCAGGACACCAAAAAATATTATAGTGAGTAATGAAATAATAAATGTAATTCTTCACCTTTCTAATAACAGATACCTCCTTCTTTTACTGGGAACCATCCACAGCGGTTGGAATCGTAACCTATGCTTGTTAATGAATTTTCTGCTCCGTGAGTTTAAATGAGGTAATTACTTTCTTTCTCAGTAAAAAACAAAATATACACACACATTAATCTACTTGAAAACCTTAAAACTTACTTTGCATTGTCTTGGTTTTGTTAGGCTTTGGTTTAACCAAGTCAGCTGTTTCATCAGGCTATGCATAATCTAGATTAATCTATATGTAATGGTATTGGGCAAGTTAATATTTACATTAAAAAATTAAAATATTTTTCTAACACTGATATTGTAATTCCTCAGATTTTCAATGTTCAGTACCATCATTTGGAAGATCTACCTAAGTGAGATATAACAGATGGGTATTGGACCTCGCTTCCCTACCTAATAAGAACTAGTTCAGGCAAATACATAGTTTAATGTCCTTCCCCACCTGTGCAATACTACTATAGAAGCAGGTTGAAGGGTGAATGAGAATCAAGAAATGTAGGCTGGAAGTATCATATATGTCACACTTGTATCTGAGCTCCACAGTTTTCATTCCTTGTACCCAGAACCTGTCATAATAAAAGGATCCAAGAAAGATGGTTGGCATCTTTAAAATATGATGAGATTAATTCCAGGTTTTAATCCATTCAACAAAACAGCAAAAAGCCATCGTCGGCTTCTGATAATTCTCTGGCTATTTATGCCTCTCTCCTTTTCTTAATATTCCATTAATAGCCCTTTCTGTATACTCTCTTACTCTGCTTCTCTGATTACACTACAGGATCTCTGCATTAGAGGCATTTGGAACTAACTTTGAATATTCTTAATATGCATCTTGGCCCAGCTACTACATTCTGCTGTGCTGAAAGCCATGGTAACATCATTGAAAGTAACTGAATTTTTAATGCTGTGTACCATTCATGTTTTTTAACATGAACCTCTAATGTTCATGTTTTGAGTTTTTTAATATTTATTTGTATTTATAAGTAAATAGCAAACATAATTTTTAAATAGAGCTACTTATTTACTAGAAATTTCCATGAGCGCACACACATGCGCAACTGCCTCAAAACAATTCCAGAAATGCAATGTAGTACAGTATACAATTCACACAACTGATGTTCAAAATAATTTGTTGGATGATGATAATCATGAGTCTGAGAAAAAAACAAACTTAAGAACCTTCCTATAAACTTTATGTAGTCTGTCAGATAATTATTGGTTTTCTCAGATACCAATAGCTTAAAAATGTATAGTTTATACTTTGAGAGTATTTTGAATTAACATAAGAAGCTTATGTTAAATTCAATACTCACCTTTGACCTTCATATGTAACAGTTTCTTAAATGTTAATAAGATTACTTTTATCTCCAATGCATAGGTGAGAGTACTGAGGTTCTAGTAATATCATACTAGAATCATAGAGACCAGTGGGCCAAGGCAGCTGAGGAAACTACTAGAATACATTTAGGATCTTACACCCAGGACTATCCCTTCCATGTATGAAGACAGGTTAAAGTTTAAAAGGTGGCGTTCATCTGACCCCATCTCTTGGTGGCTTCAGTGCCTCCTTGCCAGAGTAATTTGCAGACTGAGGAAAAAGCAGGTAAGAAATCACAAACAAAAAAGGACTACAGTATTACTTTTTACAATATCATCTCTCCCGGAGTCCAATTTTAGTTGAAGAATAAAAAGTAAAAGGTAGTTTTGACTGTCTCCTCAAGTCAAGATGAAAAATTTAGGATTTTATGATATCACATAGTTTCGATGGCTCACCCAACCTTAGTCGTCATTCAGGAACTGAGACTCAGAGAAGGGAAGTGACTTGTCCTAAATCTTCCACAGAGTTTATGACAAGCTTTTCTAACCCAATGCATTGTCCTTTCCACTTTGCAGCTTGTATTTTCCTCTAATTGATATGATATTATTAGGAAGCTAATATTATTACAATTTTTTAAGCAACTTTGGCTTAGCTATTTGTGCCGGAAAGATACTTTTATTAGCATGTTCTTATTTTTAAAAATTAAGTATGCTACAAAAACCTCAACAGCGTAAAAAACCATAAACTCATACACATCTAGTTGTCTTGCAAGCAAATAAAATATCTCCACAAAAACTTAGTACATATCACCTTCTGAAAAATTTTAAACATCCCATTTTACTGCACAGAAAGAATACCATCATGAGTGTCTGAAGAATGCTGCTCTTAAACTTACATTTTTCTCTTTCTTACCCCCAAAGAGATTTGGAAAGAGAAGAAGAGACTTGAAAATAAGTTTCTGATTGTACAGAGGTGGAACAAGAACTGCTGGAAGATTCATTGGAAGAATATACGCACATAGTATAAAGATAGGCACACATAGAAATAATTAGGTATGAAAAGAGAACAGAGCCCATATTAAGAAAGTAGGTCAGTTCTTAAAGCTTCCTGAATCTACTGGGGCGCTAAGATATTGGAAATAAAAATACTAAATAATAAAGCAAGATTTAAATAATAATACCAAACAACAATGACCAAAACGACAAAAGAAAACAGGTTCATTTGCCAAATGAATGCTACTGATAACCATGCTGAGAAATACGGGAGGGAATGAGACCACGGTAGATTGTACTAGTAAAGGAAAAGTATCCTGTTTTCCAACTTCTCTCTGCTACAAATTTGTTGAAAGAGTACAAAATAATGACTTACAAACTGAATCTTTAAAATGGAATAAAAATGAGTTATTACATTGCAACTACATGTATTGGAAGTAATTAAATATTAAGTATTCACCAGTTTTTAATATATCAATAATACAGAAACTTTTACAGTAAAGTCAATGAATACAGAAAAAATAAAATTATTTAATAAATGTTTTTCTGCCCCCAGTAGGCGCTAAAATATCTGATATTATTTGATCCCTGTGACCTGCAGCTACAACAGAGGCA